TAGTTGGGATACCACTGACTACTAGGGCGCATGTAGTAGGGATACCACTGACTACTAGGACGCATGTAGTTGGGATACCACTGACTACTAGGGTGCCTGTAGTAGGGATACCACTGACTACTAGGACGCATGTAGTTGGGATACCACTGACTACTAGGACGCATGTAGTTGGGATACCACTGACTACTAGGACGCATGTAGTTGGGATACCACTGACTACTAGGACGCATGTAGTAGGGATACCACTGACTACTAGGACGCATGTAGTTGGGATACCACTGACTAGTAGGGCGCATGTAGTAGGGATACCACTGACTACTAGGACGCCTGTAGTTGGGATACCACTGACTAGTAGGGCGCATGTAGTAGGGATACCACTGACTACTAGGGTATATGTATTTGGGATACCACTGACTACTAGGGCGCATGTAGTTGGGATACCACTGACTACTACGGCGCATGTGGTTGGGATACCACTGACTACTACGGCGCATGTAGTTGGGATACCACTGACTACTAGGGCGCATGTAGTTGGGATACCACTGACTACTAGGGCGCATGTAGTTGGGATACCACTGACTACTACGGCGCATGTAGTTGGGATACCACTGACTACTACGGCGCATGTAGTTGGGATACCACTGACTACTACGGCGCATGTAGTTGGGATACCACTGACTACTAGGGTGCATGTAGTTGGGATACCACTGACTACTAGGGTGCATGTAGTTGGGATACCACTGACTAATAGGGCGCATGTAGTTGGGATACCACTGACTACTAGGGCGCATGTAGTTGGGATACCACTGACTACTTGTATGGGCATGTGTTGTGGGAGCTACTGGTGTATTAATGTACTACTTCTACAACCGTATGAGGTAGAGTTGTCACTCCGGGGTCGTGTGGGTTTTCATAATGTACTGTTTTTCTTGCCCTGTGTTATCCTCATACTTGGCTTTCCTTGCCCTGTGTTATCCTAATACTTGGCTTTCCTTGCCCTGTGTTATCCTCATAATTGGCTTTCCTTGCCCTGTGTTATCCTCATACTTGGCTTTCCTTGGCATGGGTTATCCTCAAACATGGCTTTCCTTGCCCTGGGTTATCCTCATACTTGGCTTTCCTTGCCCTGGGTTATCATCATATGTGGCTTTCCTTGCCCTGGGTTATCCTCAAACATGGCTTTCCTTGCCCTGGGTTATCCTCATAATTGTCTTTCCTTGCCCTGGGTTATCCTCAAACATGGCTTTCCTTGCCCTGGGTTATCATCATATGTGGCTTTCCTTGCCCTGTGTTATCATCATATGTGGCTTTCCTTGCCCTGGGTTATCCTCATACTTGGCTTTCCTTGCCCTGGGTTATCCTCAAACATGGCTTTCCTTGCCCTGTGTTATCATCATATGTGGCTTTCCTTGCCCTGGGTTATCATCATATGTGGCTTTCCTTGCCCTGGGTTATCCTCATACTTGGCTTTCCTTGCCCTGGGTTATCCTCAAACATGGCTTTCCTTGCCCTGGGTTATCCTCATAATTGTCTTTCCTTGCCCTGGGTTATCCTCAAACATGGCTTTCCTTGCCCTGGGTTATCATCATATGTGGCTTTCCTTGCCCTGTGTTATCCTCAAACATGGCTTTCCTTGCCCTGGGTTATCATCATATATGGCTTTCCTTGCCCTGGGTTATCATCATATGTGGCTTTCCTTGCCCTGGGTTATCATCATATGTGGCTTTCCTTGCCCAGGGTTATCCTCATATGTGGCTTTCCTTGCCCTGGGTTATCATCATATGTGGCTTTCCTTGCCCTGTGTTATGATCATATGTGGCTTTCCTTGGCCTGTGTTATCCTCATACTTGGTTTTCCGTGCCCTGTGTTATCCTCATACTTGGCTTTCCTTGCCCTGTGTTATCCTCATACTTGGCTTTCCTTGGCATGGGTTATCCTCATACTTGGCTTTCCTTGTCCTGTGTTATCCTCATACGTGCCTTTCCTTGTCCTGGGTTATCCTAATCCATACAGTTATCCTCATCCTTGGGTATCTTGGTCGAAGGTTACCTTCATCCTTGTCTATCCTTGTCTATCCTTCTCTTGCGTTACACTTGCCCTGAATTATCAACGTTTGCGGTTAAGCTTCCCCGTTAGAATATTGTCCTCCTTGTCCATGCTTAGAACTACACGCCTTCAACTGCAATATTTGTAATATCTCTCCTTTTCGATACTGGTTCCACTGACCTTCAGATCATGTGCCGGGCACGTTGCGACCCCAAGTGACATGGTAACCTCGTCCCTTACAACATTCTCGACATACAACAGAACAAAGCTATCTTATCTCACTGAGTCTTATGACGGAAAGACAAATGGCGCTTACACACGCACCAAAGGGACTATGTTGCTTATATTCTGGAACTGCTAACAGGTTAAACGTTCTTGCCAGAGACGCTGTAAACACCGTTATAATAGTATTGTGTTCTGTTTTAAATGTTTACAATCTACAATAGTGTCTACTTTGTATGTTTTGTTTGTTTGCTGCTTAACGCCACACTCAGCAATATTGCAGCTATATGAAGGCGGTCTGTCGATAAATTCTGGACCTGACAATCCAGTGATTGATATCTTCTTTAGACTAACATCATTACATTATAATGACGATGCTGGAGCTGATCGCAATCATGCTAAACACATCCAACAGTTGGTTGATTGTTTGATTGCTGCTTAACGCCGCACTCAGCAATATGCCATCTATATGACGGCGGTCTGTAATTAATCGAGCCTGAATTAGACAATCCAGTGAATGACATCATTAGCATTGATACACGCAATTGGGATACGATGACATGCATCAACCAGGTCAGCGAGCCTGACCACCCGATCCCGTTAGTCGCCTCTTACGACAAGCATAGTCGCCTTTTACGGTAAGCAGGGGTTGCTGAAGACATATTCTACTCCGGATCTGCACGGGTCGCTCGCTTTGTAAGACACTTATATACTTCGTCAAACTTCATCAAACCGGTTTCATAGTCATTTTGAGATTTAATGAAAATTACCGTTGTCTCTAAATTCTTTTGAATGATACACGTTAGATGGTGTTTGGTGCCAGCACTTCTTGGTGAAAACGTCCCATGTCACTCTTTGGGAATAGAACTAAATTGAGACTATATTCGCTTCCGGTATTTAACTGAAAAACTAACTTTCACTGAATCGTCAGCGACGATACAAAATAAATATTCTTAAACCATAATATCGGCATTATATACAGTAAACTACGGTTATAACGAACTCAAAGGGACCACTAATTATAATTCGTTATAACCGTAGTTCGTTAAAAGCAAATGTACGGAATTTACACAGCAAACGGACAGTACCAAAAAAATAGTTCGTTATATCCGTCAGTTCGTTATAAGCGTGTTCGTTATAAACGTAGTTTACTGTATAGAATTATCCGTAGTTTGAGTCAAACCGAATTTCTCATCAGACCAAAGCCCACATGTCTTATTTGTAGCTGTCAAAACGTTCAGTGAACTAAATAGTTATAACACCTAATGGTAAAGCATGACGTTAATTCGCACTCAAATACAGTAAACTACGTTTATAACGAACACGCTTATAACGAACTGACGGATATAACGAACTATTTTTTGGGTCCTGTCCATTTGCTGTGTATATTCCGTACATTTGCTTATAACGAACTACGGTTATAACGAATTAAAATTAGTGGTCCCTTTGAGTTCGTTATAGCCGTAGTTCGTTATAACCGTAGTTTACTGTAACTAAACTGCTGGGCAAAAGAAACTATGCGTCCATCTTTGATTGAGGCTAAATATGAAACAAACAAGAAATGGTTATTCAATCGTGATGTATTTGATACGGATATCATAGTTCTTTTTTAACCTCACGTTTACAGTCTTATGGCGTCTGTTGGCAGCCTTGTAACGTTTTGATAACGTTTGTACCTGTTTCGTGAAATCTGATTTTAAGTTATAATTTCTTTTGCCATGCGGTTTATCAAACTAAATACATCCTTTAATCTCCGCCGTATCCATTATTTTTTTTCTGCGTTCTCTTAAATCATGTCTAATTAACTCTGTCATCGCCAACTGGTGTCGGTCGCATTTGGGTTGTTGTTTGTTGTTTTACGCCGCACTCAGCAAAATTCCAGCTATATGACGGCGGTCTGTAAATAATCTGGACCAGACAATCCAGTGATTGACATCATGAGCATCGATCCACGCAATTGGTATCGACGACATGCATCAATCAAGTCAGCGAGCCTGACCACCCGATCCCGTTAGTCGCCTTTGACAAGCATAGTCGTTTTTTTACGGCAAGAATAGGTTGCTGAAAACCTATTCCACCCCGGATCTTCACGGGTCGGTCTCATTTGGAACAGAGTATATAAGACAATTTGTTGTTGAAAGAAACTTTGAATATCTAGCGAAGAACGGAGATTCAGGATTCTTCAGTGTCTGTTACCGCTTGACTGCCTATTGAAACAAGTGGTGCTATTTGCTTCAAGATATATTATGCTCTTAGTGTAGTAAATGTTTTTAACGAATTTAGCTATAAACCGCTAATGGAGACATGTCATGTCTTTCTCATACAAATAACGTATCATGGAAATAAAAATAAAAAGTGTAAGGTCTTTGTAAATAGATCTACATTCTATAAGGTGTTTATTGATACGTGAATAAAAAAGTAGCGACATAAGACGTCGGCGTCTGAGACTCGTATAAGGCGCGGAGTTGTGCACCCTACCCTCCTGGATCCGTTGTTTTTTGGTTCAGCTTCACGTCTGTGCACGTGGTTCTCAGTGATGTACATGTGAAATTAGATACCATCCTGCGACATTGTCAAGTGTCCTCCAGCAATAAGCTGTCATACGGTGAAACTGCCATATTGTTCTAAAAGGCATTAAACCAGCTCACCCACTCACTCCAATTAAATAAGAATATCGATAGATGATCGATATTAAAATCAAATGATATTTTTATAATATTTTATTTTTTCAGATAATTGTGCAAAAGCGGATTACGACCATCGACGAAGACCTCAAGAGCGTCATCACCTGTTCAAATGGACTAATGTGACATTGACGTCCATGTACGCCTGATACACGGGCATACGAGGAAGGGGAACAACAGGTGGTTACAAGAAACAGAACAGTCTTCTATCCACGATGTTTTTGCAGTAAAGGCGAGAGCGTTGAGCCAATCCATCTTGTGTGTACTCCGATGTCCTGAGGGCACGGCCATGGATTTAGAGGCCGTCAGAGTGTTGGCGTGGCCAGAGTTCCTGGCCAGCCCGGGCCAGCTCCACCACGCCTTCACGAAGGAGAATGGTCAGCTGACCTATGATGGTCAGTTCGTGTTTGACCTCACCACGCCATTGGCGGCGGAACAGGTGGGAGTGGGATACCACGTGCAGAAGTAAGTCGGGATGAATGCCTGTGCGTGTTTGTTGCGTGAGCGGGTGTACGCATGTGCGTGCGCGTGTTCTGGTGAGGAAGCTAGTCGCGGATGTGTTTTCTGTTGGCGTTGTTATCGTTGTGAGTATTGGTGCTGACGAAAACAGCTTTATCTCGCATAAGCCTGGGTTACACATGAAAAATGTCGGTGCGGTGCGGTAGCGGTGCGTTGCGGTGCGATGCGGTGCTGTGTCGGTGCGGTGCGGTGCGGTGCGGTGCGGTGCGGTGCGGTGCGGTGCGGTGCGGTATCGGTGCGGTGCGGTGCGTTGCGTTGCGTTGCGTTGCGTTGCGTTGCGTTGCGATGCGGTGCGGTGCGGTGCGGTGCGGTATCGGTGCGGTGCGGTATCGGTGCGGTGCGGTGCTGTGCTGTGCGGAGCGATACGGTGCGGTATCGGTGCGGTGCGGTGCGGTAGCGGTTATGGTTGCAGTTATATGTGGTTGCGGCTCGAATGCAGGTGCGGGGTGGTTGCGCTTGTGGCTCAGGTAGACGGGTAAGCATCATGATATTTGTGATAGCGGACAACGAAAGTGGTGTTTGAACGATGTAAACGACATTTACTATGACTGCAAATTTGCCCGAGTCTCGTCCTTTTCGTTCATCAACCTTAGTCGTTCTCATTTCTCAAAATACCTGAGGCAACTCTTGGCATTTAGGTTGACTCTTAAGATCTTTGGATGACGGTGTATCGCTTTCAAGGACGGGACATATCTATGTCATATCATGGGACGCCTTGAATTTAAACGAAAGAGGGACCGGTTGGTATCAGTCTGTTGATCATAGCTAATACTATCTACCATCGGTTTAACGACCTAAAATTGATTATTTACATTTCCGTTATTTCACGTGTTCATCATTCGAGGTACAACATTCGAGAAACAACATTCGAGGTACATCATTCGAGGCGGCAGTGAAGCTTTTAAAACGTTTCTTTTTATGTTAGACATGTAGAGTACATTTTCATATATTCCTGTGTTAACTTGTACAGTGAGTGAGTGAGTTGGGTTTAACGCCGCTTTTGACAGTATTCCAGTTATATCACGGCGTGTCCGCTTAAAGTGGGAGGAAAGCCCGAAGTGATGCAGGTCTCAGACGTTTACCACTTCAGTGAAACCCACGAGCACGGGTATGGTGCTGACAAACCTAGAAACATAATCGGTGCGAACCGGGATTCGAACCGTCAGTCATAGGTTTCTGGCAAGCCGAAGGGACGCAACTCTGCACAGCGAATCGCGGCGCCTTAGACGACTAGGCCACCCGGGCCCCCTTACTTGTACAACGCGTCCCCGTGTTTTTTATAGGGAGAACAGTGACTTGCCTTTCATGTGTTTTTTATAGGGAGAACAGTGACTTGCCTTTCATGTGTTTGTGGAGGGTGCCACCGATTGGGCAGGATACGGTCACCTTTTCTCGCACGCCTGGTACCATCATGTATTGATAGAAATTCCTGAACACATGCTTCTGGGGGAATCGTACAATCGACTCTAGTTTTTTTCAAATGGAAAGTTTTTTTCGCTTTTATTTCCTAAAAAATGGCATTAAGAACCAACGTGTCTAATTCACCTTTCACGGGGGTGAAGGAGTGAAAGCTTTTCGATCATTGAGTAAGTTGACAATAAGTTATCTATGTCCTCCCATATACCGTTTCACCAAGTTCGCGATGCCAGCTTTTTCTGTATGGAGTACCTTGTGTCCGGCATCAAGTGGTTGGTATTAATACTCTGAGGTGTTCGTGCCGGCAGGTTCTCCTGTAGAGATTCTACAGAGGACGAACTGGAGGGTTGGCAAATTGCCTCCACGTCCTGATTGACAGTTACAATATATTTCACTCAGTCGACTGTAGATATATCTAATTACATGCCATGGTGTCTGTAAGGCGATTAAGCTTTTGATTCATCCTGGACAATTGGCAGTGCGATCTGACTTATTGAAGGACTTATTGTCAGCTTCCTCGAGTGCACAGCTGAAATAACGGCAGGATTCTAGAAAAGCTTCTTGGAACCCTCGCTGTTATTTAGAGACTCTCTGATAAGTGTGATTGTGGAGGAAAATATTTGTATTTGTATTTATTGGTATATTATATTTGATTGTACTCCTCTCTTCATTTCACAGATTTGAAACCGACTTTAATAAGAGAAAATTTCTTTCTTAAAATATATCTTGAAATATTAAGGTATTTGTTGAGTAAATATGTTCTCTTATGGAGGTGTATTGTCATTCTTTTCAACACTGCTGGAAACCCAACTGTGATCTTCGTAAAAAGAAGGGTCCAGGTGAGGCGGGAGTTTTCGATGGCCGGAAATTTATAAATTTCAAACAGCCGCCTTCGGTTCCAAATGTAATTTAATTTTTAAAACATTTCAAAATAGAAAATCTCTTGACTGCCTAAGGCTAGCATTTGCAATTGGTTTCCACAAAATGTATTCCTCTTGAAGTTCGGCAAGGTTGTTCCCCAAAGGGGTAAACGTCAAAGACTTGCTTCACTCTGGGCTTTCCTCTCCCATCAAACTGACACGCCGTGACATCACTGGAATACTGTTTAAAACGAGGTAAAGCACATTTCACTCATTTGAAAATAAAGCCAAACCAAATGAAGCCAAGGGAGAAATATAACCTGGACTGCTTTTATGTAACAAAAACAAGAATGAAACAAAAACCCTAAAAAACGTTAAATAGTCGACTGAACTCTCTGCTACAAGCAGAGTTGATTGTACGATTCCGACTATATCATGGGCCTGTGATATTGAATCGCTATCAAATAGTGCTGATACTCCATACTGTTCTATAGTCACCTGAACTCTCTGCTACAAGCAGAGTTGATTGTACGATTCCGACTATATCATGGGCCTGTGTTAATGAATCACTATCAAATAGTGCTGATACTCCATACTGTTCCCTAGTCACCTGAACTCTCTGCTACAAGCAGTTGATTGTACGATTCCGACTATATCATGGGCCTGTGATAATGAATCACTATCAAATAGTGCTGATACTCCATACTGTTCCCTAGTCACCTGAACTCTCTGCTACAAGCAGAGTTGATTGTACGATTCCGACTATATCATGGGCCTGTGTTAATGAATCACTATCAAATAGTGCTGATACTCCATACTGTTCTATAGTCACCTGAACTCTCTGCTACAAGCAGTTGATTGTACGATTCCGACTATATCATGGGCCTGTGTTAATGAATCACTATCAAATAGTGCCGATACTCCATACTGTTCTATAGTCACCTGAACTCTCTGCTACAAGCAGTTGATTGTACGATTCCGACTATATCATGGGCCTGTGTTAATGAATCGCTATCAAATAGTGCTGATACTCCATACTGTTCTATAGTCACCTGAACTCTCTGCTACAAGCAGTTGATTGTACGATTCCGACTATATCATGGGCCTGTGTTAATGAATCACTATCAAACAGTGCTGATACTCCATACTGTTCCCTAGTCACCTGAACTCTCTGCTACAAGCAGTTGATTGTACGATTCCGACTATATCATGGGCCTGTGTTAATGAATCACTATCAAATAGTGCTGATACTCCATACTGTTCCCTAGTCACCTGAACTCTCTGCTACAAGCAGTTGATTGTACGATTCCGACTATAGCATGGGCCTGTGATAATGAATCACTATCAAATAGTGCTGATACTCCATACTGTTCCCTAGTCACCTGAACTCTCTGCTACAAGCAGTTGATTGTACGATTCCGACTATATCATGGGCCTGTGTTAATGAATCACTATCAAATAGTGCTGATACTCCATGCTGTTCCCTAGTCACCTGAACTCTCTGCTACAAGCAGTTGATTGTACGATTCCGACTATATCATGGGCCTGTGTTAATGAATCACTATCAAATAGTGCTGATACTCCATACTGTTCCCTAGTCACCTGAACTCTCTGCTACAAGCAGATTTGATTGTACGATTCCGACTATATCATGGGCCTGTGTTAATGAATCACTATCAAATAGTGCTGATACTCCATACTGTTCTATAGTCACCTGAACTCTCTGCTACAAGCAGTTGATTGTACGATTCCGACTAAAACCCTTGGCCTGTGATAATGAATCGCTATCAAATAGTGCTAATACCAGGTGTTCTGGAAAGGTGACTGTGTCCTGTCCCACCGGCGGCTCCCGTCATAAACACATGCAAAGGTAAGTCAATTGTTCACCTGAAAAAAAACCACGGGAACTCATGGTACACGTCAAAATTGGGAATTGCATCAGACATATTTTTGTCTTGAGGCGAATATTTTGTCACGCCAAATATGAAACAGACGAGGCGAGCACCATACCCGTCTGAGACGGGTATCACTTCGGGCTATCTTCCCACATTAAGCTGACACGCCGCGATATAACTGGAATGCTGTTAAAAGCGGCGTTTAACCAAACTCACTCACTCACTCACTCAGGTGGGTCAATCGGTGGAAGGGAAACACTTACAATAATGTCATCATTCGAGGATATATTGAGAGTTAGCAGTCATTTCTTCAAGCTTCTATAACGACCCCCCGCCCTTATTGTCTCTCCGTATAAACAGGCGATATATCTTCTCGAACCATCCACGCGTTTCAGTATAAACAGGTCTATGTTCGATAATCTGGCCAAACGCTCTTTCCCAATTACTGAATTCTATGCAGTTATGGTACAATTAAATATTGTATGACTCTATATCAACTTTCCAAGATCGGAACTTTTGATGTAGCCAGATAGATCTCCTGACAATAGGCGAATTAACGACTGAACGACATGCCTTGCAGATGCTGGACGATCGGGATGGCCTGCTTACATCCATTTAGAGTCATTGAATCATCCGCGAGTTTGATCGGTATTGATTTTCATCCCTGATTTGTCATTGTCCCATAAACTGCATCTGTGTTTGCTGCAAACTTTACAAGAGCCGTATCGTTTCATGTGCTTGATTTAATCTACATAGCATGCCTCGGGGAATAAGCCTAAGCGTACACAAGCTTACAGCGAGTGTCGACGGGGTTGTGTGGCTTCATCCGTCTAGCTTGTTGTCCGAGTGTACGAGTAATACGCATGTAATGTACCAATACGGACGCGTAGGATAACATTGAGTCGGTCTATTGTCGTAAGCCGGGGTAAGACTGTGTGTCAAGCCTGATGTTGCTATTTGTGAATTTGTTTTCCTTCATGATTGCTATCGATCCGTCCCATAACAAGATGAATGGCTGTTCGCTGCAGCGTTTGGATGATGAATGATTAATACAATACACGTAGTGTTTCTTTGAGAACAAAAGGTTCCGTCTTTCCTAATTCAATTCTTGGAGACTTTGTCAACTGGTAATGTTTGCAGCAGATGTCTTTTTAAAACCAATGCCCAGCTGCACAGAACATGGCCCGCAACCACCACGGCCCAGCTGCACTGAACACGTGACGTAACCACCAGAGCGCAACTACGCAAGACATTGCATACAACACCACATTCGATTAGACAGAACTTGTCGCATAACCATCACGGCATCTACGAAGACTTCAAGGCATCTACGAATACTTCAAGGAAATGCCAATTTACACCACGGCATCATATCACACGCTGCATCCGAATAGGAATCGGTGTGTCGCTGTAACCACTAAAGACCCTTTGTACATTCCCATCAAAATGAGTGCCACGTGTGTGTCAGTGTGTCTGTGTGTTTGTCTGTTTGTGTATGTGTGTGTGCGGGTCTGTGTATGTTTTGTGTGTTTGTTTGTGACTATGTGTGTGTGTGTTTGCACGTGTGCGTGTCTAAGTGTGTGTGTGTGTGTGTGTGTATTTTGTGTGTGCGTATGTCTGTGCTTGTGTGTAACTGTGTGTGTGACTCTGTGTGTGTATGTGTGTCTTTGAGCGTGTGATTGTCTAAGTATGTGTCTGTTTGTTTGTGTGTTTCTTTGTATTTTGTGTGTGCGTTTGTCATTGCTTGTGTGTGACTGGGCGTGTGTGTGTGTGTGTGTGTGTGTGTGTGTGTGTGTGTGTGTGTGTGTGTGTGTGTGTGTGTGTGTGTGTGTGTGTGTGTGTGTCTTTGTGCGTGTGGGTGTCTGCGTGTGTCTGTTTGTCTCTATATCTGTGTGTGTGTGTGTGTGTGTGTGTGTGTGTGTGTGTGTGTGTGTGTGTGTGTGTGTGTGTGTGTGTGTGTGTGTGTGTGTGTGTGTGTGTGTGTGTGTGCGCGCTAATGAAGTTGAAGTTGTAATAATGGATTAGGTAGATATTTGCAATCGATGTTGATTGTATATACACACGATCAGTTCTTCAGTGATATAGGTGATATACCATGTACGTTCCTTTCCAGAAACGAAATAATTTTGATCATCCACAACGAGGCTGAGATGACGTCACTTCTTGGAGACCTACTAAGGAAGCTTCTGCTCATGCGCATCACAGTCCTGCACACGGAGATCTCCAGTAAATACAGCATGGAGACCATCTCAATACTGGAAGGTAAATATAGCGTGGACATAATAACACTGCAAGAAGGTTGATATGATCAGTATATGCTTACTCCATCAGTATATGCTTACTCCGTCAGTATACGCTTGCTTCATCAGTATATGCTTGCTCCTTAGGCATATGCTTACTCAGTCAGTATATGCCTGCTCCATCAGTATATACTTAATCCATCAGCATATGCTTGTTCCGTCAGTATATGCTTATTCTTTCAGTATATGCTTGCTCCATCAGTATATGTTTACTCCATAAGTATATGCTTGCTCCATCAGTATATGCTTGCTCCATCAGTATATGTTTACTCCATAAGTATATGCTTGCTCCGTCAGTATATGCTTGCTCCGTCAGTATATGCTTGCTCCGTCAGTATATGCTTACTCCATCAGTATATGCTTGTTCCATCAGTATATGCTTGCTCCATCAGTATAGCTGTTTCAGTTATGTATACTCATCAAGATGATACAGCTGCCTAATGTTCAATGTTGTATCACACCAGTGTCTAACAAGCAGACAAACCAGTCCCACATTGATATTGGCTTTAAGAAGATAAAGTTGCAGATGATATATTATTCGCTTTGTGACTGATGCGTCTGAACTGTTTGTCCTGACTTGGGTACGACGCAAACTCGTGAAGATCCGGGTTACAACAGGTCATCAGCAACCCATTCTTGTCGTAAAAGGCGACTACGCTTTTCGTAAAAGGCGACTAACGGGATCAGGTGGTCAGGCTCGCTGACTTGGTTCATGCAGGTCATCGTATCCAAATTGCATGGATCGATGCTCATGATATCAATCACTGGTCTGTAGGGGAGCTCACAATTACAAATGCAATTGAGTTGCGCACACGCATAAAACAGACTCCGAGTATCTTAATGAACAGACAAAATGGCGAATTGTGTGTACGACAGACGAGGGGGATGTCAACATTCCAAGTTGCGCGCGTGTTTGGAAAATAAAAAAGTGTAATTTCTCGACTGTGGGACAAGTACCGTCAACGAGTGGGGGTGCACAGATACCTGGGCGTGGCAATAATTGTAACATTATATTAATTATTCCACGCAATAAATTCAAATCTTCTCCTGTTATCAACAGATAATTCCGTACAATAACAGGAAGGCGAAATTCAACATCTACTGTTACAAATTGGCTCTATGCATGCACCCCGCCGTAAACTAAGACGTCTTGTGAACAGTGTGCCCCCAGCATCTTACCATAGGCAGCAAGGATTGGGGGGATCTTGGCGTTACACCATGTGTACAGACGAATCTATGTTTTGCCTCCGATTCACAGATGGCAGAACTCGTTGTTGGCGACGTAGCGGCGACCTGTATGCCAGGGCAACAATTCTTTACCATTATCGGTATGTGGGCTGTAGCGTCTTTTCGAGGGGTGGTATCAAAGATGACAGGCGAAACTGACTTGATTATCGTGAATGGACTTTTATTTGTCGACGAAATGTTGTGTCCTGTCGTTGATACATTCTCTAAAATTATCGACAGACATTTTGAACTGCAAAATGACAGTGCCAGACCACATCGTGCCAAGGTTCTTACAGATTATCCCTGCCGAGAAGGCATATCCCCCGCTATGTCCCCTGACCACAGCAATAAAATTGTAGGTTTCCGGAAGGTATCCGGAAACCTTCCGGAAACCTTCCAGATACCTTCAGCAACCTTCAAATTTCTTGGTATTTTCCAGATAATTCTTTTAAGTGTTTTACACTTAAAGGGGAAGTGTACACGCAAAAATCACTTTCTTTCTTTTTCTAAACAAAACGCAATTTTAGAATTAATTAGTGTCTGTGTTTGAAAATATACACTCATCTTTTTCACAGTGAAAGTAGGAAGCTCACAATAGTGTGAAAATGAAATGCCGTTGTGAGGCGTTCGATTTGCGAGCTAAACAGGCCTGAGTTACCCCCCTTAGATTATGACGTAATTGGTGCCAATTTAACTGGGTTCCTGTCTATTCTCAGCGCAAAATATATCAAGTACCAGTTTACGGTAAAACAACATGGCCTACGAGTCCAGCTCATCGTCTGATAGTGAAGAATTTTCGTTTGACCAGACAGAAATTGTAAAGCCATATGCTTTTGAGCCAACACCTGAACATTTCCCGAACTTCAAGATAAAGTCAAGATATGGCGACGAAGAAGAAACAAGCGAAGACCTCTTATTCGTGTCGTCAGCCTCCGACCCATCTACTGAACAACCGACGAGACCACTGTGGTAAGAATAAACTTGGCCTAAATATCTTGTTACAGCTCATTGTACATTTCCAGAAGCGAAACATATTCTTAGAGATATTTGCCATGCCTGGTAGCCTAACCCATACTCTTCTGTAACCATTTATCCTGTCCCACCCTGTTACGATTCCATAGCAATATCGTCCAATCCGAGCTTATCAAAAATGTTTCACTATCCTCACCACCCATGGGCTACTTCGCAGGCTACATGGCAATTTTAATACTAGTATGTCGCCAACCGTTGCTATTCTTTGCGTAACACGATTTAGGTGTTCGTCCCGCAGGCTGTCGAGTCAACACGTTGTTTCCGATTGTGAACATACTGACAAGAGCCACATGTTAACCTCTCCAGATCTATGAAATAATATTTAAGATCCAAATTCATATTCAAAACGACTGTCGTATTGTTCGATGTCGTGTTCAATCGGTTGTCCGATCTGCCACCCGTTGTACGAAACTAGCACCTTTTGAAAAGTAGGCCCTGATGAGTCCCAATATTTTGTGTTTTGTTCGACATCAGTTTAATAGATCATTGTTTATAATATTGGTTTGCTCTCACCACGGAATCACAACAAAGCCATTGCAACATTGCTGGGAAACTGTAACATACCCTAGTATAACTGGTCACTGGAAAATGACTTCAGGCAGATATTTGATACCTCTAAATAGACCTAACAGTAACCATGAGTTTGTGCCACTATTATAATTTACTTGGCGTTATAAAATATGTTTTATCCTTCGTACATCATGAACACTTCAAGTCCGATACTCTGTGTTGTAACTATTAATTGCATATGCTTTAGTAAAAATGTTAAAATTGTTTTCACCTAATATTATTTTATTAATTTGGCCTGGTAATGAACTGTGTACTTACACAAAGTGTAAATCATGAAAAATAATATACCTGATGCAATAATGTTACAGGTGTACATGTGGTTGCTGTGTGGGAATGCAGTCTGAGGTAGAGGAGCTGTGTTGTGTTGATGTTGCTCCTGTCCAGAATAAGCTTGATGACACATCTACCTGCAACTTCAGCTGCATCACTTACCACCCTGGCCTCTATGAAGTGTCACTGAGCAAGTATGGAATGGAGGCGTACTACAATGAGTTCATTGACACCAGTGGTCCGATAGGAGATGATGAACCAGTACACAAGTATGATACATTCTAATAATTCATAAAATAGTTGTATGCTTTATCAAGAGAGGATTACATGTTTGTAGAACAATTTGAACGCCCAAATTTCACTAAAATTTAAATAAGAAATTCAACTTCCATAATCTCATAATTTTATTTCCAGGGATGAGAATTTTTCTCAGATTAAGTTACATCAAGGGACAAAGGTTTTTGTTGCTAAAACCATCATTTACGTTTTTTGAATGTATTAGCTTCATGAAACATAAAAATACCTGAAACAAATTTTGGGAAAAAATGCCTGATTTACTTTCATCAGTGACCAAAGTCTTCTCTTGTTTATTGTAGACTACGAGTCAGGATTTTAAAACAAATTTTCGACTTGTTTTTAAATGTGTATATTGTATTTGAAGATATGTCAAGTAAAACAAACAAATATGACGAGTGAAATAATTCTCCAATTCATTAAATGTTTATTTCTCGGACAAGTTTTGTAATCATATTCAAAGCAATAGTATTAAACATACCATGCAAACATGATCAATTGTATAAGTCATGACTGAATTGTTGACAAGGCACCGTCACACATACTTTCCAAGGAAATTGTTATACCTATGTCATTTAACTTGATATGATTATATTGGAACAGTTAACTCAGCTTTTTTGACATTTGTGAATTCATTATGCATCTTTGAATTGACCAGTGAGGTGCTGTGTTAGTCAAGTAAGATCCCTCTCCTCCACCCCTTCTTAGATAATAGATTCTATATTTATTGATAGAATCATGTAATAGGTCTAACACACTGGATACTGTAGGGTGTGTTAAGAACTGCTTGTCGTCACTTGGAAACAAGCAATGCTGCCATTTTAGTCTATGTCAAAGGTTTTACCATGGAAACTTTGAAAATATTTGTTTTAAAAAAATCCCCAAAACATCATCTTGCATGAACCCCCTAGAACCACTCCATATCCATCTTCTAAAAGTACATGATATTTGTAACGTTTTGTAAGAGAAAAAATGGCAATACCTTTAATGCACTGTATTCAAAATTATTTTCATGCTTTTCAGAATTTACCGACATCTCGCCTACAGGAGATTCACCTACTGGATTTGGCAAAAGTTAGGAAAGAATCATCGAAAAGTTATTCCTTCTTGTGTTGTACATAAAATTCGTGAAAGATTTCCATCGGATGTGTATACGGGTTTCCTCTATTCTCACTAAAATAAATACTGTTTTATTGAAATCTGGTTTTATGATTTCTGACAACAATCTGTTTTTGTTGTTTCTTTCCATGAGTGTCAGTTATGCAGGGTGGCTGGTTCTCACTGAGGGAGTTGTTGGCAAGGTTAAAACTCGTAAACTCTGTTCGGAGGTATGACACTTCATGTAGCAGCTCGCCAACATATTCTGAAAAAATAATACACCAAAATCACATAACAGCTTTTCATTGTACTGTAAAAGATTTTACACAATATGCTAACAACTATTTCAGGTCCATAAAAAACAGGATTCAACCTCCTGAAAAGTCCATGTTGATGGATCTCATGTAAAGCCACTTATCACCAATAACATCCATACCGTATGTTGGATTTGTCTTGAGGGGTTTAGCAGCAGCTTCCCAGTTTCTGCTCTTAGGATAAGAAACACTCCATTTCTCGTGTCCATTCTTGGTGTTTGCAATGTGCCGACTACCATTCTCGTTGAAATGGAGTGCAGACATCAGCAACCTGTTACAGTATTCTTATTGTCACAGATTGTAATTATATTATATATATATCATGATGTACACATAATGGTATGGTAATGGTTATAATAACATTGTCAAAACTTTCTGATATCAAGACTGAGAAAACTATATGCTCCAATTGTCTGGAGTCTGCTGACAGTCACAGCCTACACATTGCAATTACTGCAATGTCATACTTTCTCTGTGTAGGATTCTGCAATCATTAACTGAAGATTAGTCTCCCATAATGTAGTTTTATTTTTGTTTCTCTTAAAGCATCACAATACATACCTTGCTTTCATTCCGTTGTAATGATAGTGATAAAATTTGGGAGCGAAGTGGCATATCACGCTATGAAATCCTTCCAGATGTGATGTCTGCCCATGGGGTGACAGTTTAGCCACATCTTTAAGGAGATATGTAGACTTGAGGATACTTTCAATCTCCTTGTGAGCTCGTGTGCCTGGAAATTATAATACATATACTTATACATAGTATTATATATATATTTTCTACTAAATAAGTTATGAATTTGATACTTTATTTGGGGACTGGTAATCTGGTCATTATTTTCACTGGGTGGGGGGAGGGGGTTGTCATGAAAAAATGTCTACAAACAATTGGCATAGTAATTGATCTTTAGTGGTGAGTATCGATACACAGCCCTTGTCACTAAACATTTTACATTTGTCAGTAAATCAAGAAAGTTAAAATATGACTTTTAGTCAATACAAAAATGTAGAAGGGGCCGAGCATGTGATATTGTGGTGCAATTGTTTTATCAGTGACACCAACACATTTTTTATGAAGACGAGGAGAAAAAATAATTTTTTTCTAAATAACACTTTTTAACAATCTCATTTTTGTGGCAGACAATTTCTTTTATATCAAACATTATGAAGCTTATTTGTTTATTTTACATACCAGCAGTTACCCAAATTCTATCTTGAATTTCCCCGTGCATACATGAAGGGAAGCTTGCACCATGACCACTATGGATGTTAGCTATGTGGTTAGCAATCGACAACCACTTAGCTTGCACCTCCTCGGCATTGCCCTTGCTGGTTGCAGCACACCAATATAGGTGATTGGAAATGGAATGTGCCCACAAGCTGATTATTTCCAGGCCTTTCTTTTTGCTGATTTTTTGAAGTTTCTTGTAAATGCCTGAAAACATTAAAAGCTACCTGTACAATGGCTAGTAATGTCATATAATGATAATATTGTACAGAAATTACCTGGAAGTGTGTTTATTACGTTTTAGGTGATGAAATACATTAGTTACAATCTAATCATGCTGATATTGATGATTTGTATAACTATGTATTCACCTTTAGCTACATGCCATACATCAAACCAGTGGTGAATGCCAGCTTCCTCCTTCCTTAAGTAGGCTTTAATTTGCGTGTGCCTGTCTGTAATGATGTCTGAAACATCCACCCTGGCTGCCTGAAGAAATGCAAGGCCCCTTTTTAATCCCTCAAGTTCCATGGCATTAGAATTGGCCACCTCATTCGACTGAAAATAGAACAATAGAAATTCAGTTGTTCACACCTGTACAGAGATGTTCAACATCAACACTTTCAGTATGTAATGTCTGTAAGTATCACTGGACACAACTCAACATGTTCAGGTCACATCATGTGCAGTTGGTGTATTTAACTGTATGTATTTCTTTTACTGTATCATGAACCCTTGTTATGACAAGAATATGTGTTCTTACCTGTACCAACTGGATGTCCAAAACATGGTTTGTGTCCACATCAATCAAGGTGTAGCTTCCATACTTGGCTGTAACAATGTTAAAAAACACAGAGACTACATAAAGCTGACATAACATACAGTGCAATTTATGTCTTCTTCTAATACATGGTTACATTAAATATATCAAAGGCAATGAAAATTTCTAAATTTTATGTCAGCCGTGGCATTTATCATATTTGTCAGTTATGGGTATGCTTACACATATTCAGCCAAGTCACACATTGGAATACTAAAGACTAAACAATCTACATCGCACATGTACACAGTTGACAATTTAGCCAAAAGTCAGAAGCCCAAATCTAGTAAACTTCTGTTCTGTCGAATAAGCTCAGCTGATAATAATCCTTATAATAACACTAAATTTAACTGAAAATTATGCTAAGACCCATATTCGGGCTTGTAGTCTCAAATGATTTGGGCACATACATAATATGTATTCATATGCATATACATGTATATACAAAAAATATATTGGACTAAAGAGGATTTTTGAATACATGTACTTTAAAGCTAAAAAATGTGGATTAACCTGTGTGTCCAGGTGAGCAACACCTTGCATCCCCTGCCAGGCGTATGGATTTCTCCTTTCTTTCAAGCAGGAGTTGATTTTGATGTTTAGACCACACCCTTGAAATGGCTGGAACAATATAGCTTCTCTGGATCTTATGAAACGTTGATCTGCTTATGCTGTACATGTTCAGTATTGAATAGCTCCTCAGAGCCTTTACTGGGGAAAGGCTACTAAAGAAAATAGCACAAGCTATGGCCAAATTGCCAAGTGGCAGTTGTTTGTGGACTGGCTGACTACTCCAGAAATACAGATGCTCTTTGTGTCTAAGGCACTGTATCTGAACAGTCACAAGACTACCACAGACTTTATAAATAGTGGCTCTGCATGAACAAAAGCATAACTTGCAAAACAAGAACAAAGACAACAAATTGGATTTGAACACCAGGAACTTTGTTTCTTCAAGATGATCATTGAGGGACCTGAAATATAAAATAACAACTGTCAAATTACTTTGTTGATTGACTGAAGTGATTGTACATGTTAGATTGTGTGTTCAAATGATGTTTAAATATGTCGTGCTATGGTAGATTTGATATGAATTGGAAAATGGTACATTCAATGCATACTTTTGCTGGGACTGAAATTCTTCGAACTTGACTTTGCTTGAAAGAGGGTGGTAGTCTTCATCACTGTCACTGTCATCATCACTTGTGTAAGGTGTATCATGCTTGCTGCCAGCCTCACTTGGTGCCTGGTTACAAATGTCACCAGTGTACAATGCCACAATTAGATTTAGAAAATGTCAGTTACATTCTGTTACAGTATCACAAGAATATAATGTACAACATATTTCAATTGTGAAAAAAATCATTTTTACATAAATTTATGCTTGATTAATTTGAAATATGAATTTGTTACCTCATACTGTGTAGCACGGTCACATGTTTGCGGTGTACACTGGACAGCTACCGTGCACCGGGATGTATTCAGGCTCTTCTGAGTACCTGTTGAGCTGAGTGAGGGCATCAGAGTCTGGCATGACTTGCTTCGACACTACAAATTTGATAGAAATAGTACAAACATTCACAAGTTTGTCATCTGTGTCATTCACAAAATTTCAGCGATAGCACATTATGAATTAACTACATGTCAGTGATTTGTGTATTTTAACGGCATCAAAGACGTGTAAAGAATACTACATATATGTATGTACGTCTTTCCAGAACTTTGAGAATTATCAGTTAATGCTAAATCAGTCTAATCATGTCTAATGACATACGTGTAGTATGTTTTGTTGTCGCTAAATAGCTTACCGAAATGAGATGGTTGGTGTCAGTTCCGGCATCTGCTGTCCAATTAGGGGGTTGTATGTGCAAGTTATGTTTCTCGGACGGTACATCTCCACACTGACTGCCCACGGGCATCGAGGGGTAGTTATATTCAAATTCACTTTTATCGCTCGTGAAGGTGAACGACTGTAAATTAAAAAAACAAATACAAACAATCGATGAAGTTCGTTACGTGAAAATTACTTACCACACATATGTCAACTATCAAAATCACAAAACCGTGCAGCACACTGTAGTACTGCGATCAGCTGATCACCGAATATCGATGTCCAAGTAATTCCAGGAAGTGAACGAGACGCACGTTTAACATGCTTAATTATCTCGTGAAACTATGAACAAATACTAACTTATTCCTGTGTTAAACAGCTACCTTATATGCTACCGTGTTTAGATTTTATGTGATATTACATACATTAAACTTACCCGAGATGCTTCGACTTTACGACGTTTGTTTACGAAAACACTCCAGTCAGGGTCTTGATGGGAGTGCTGTCCCTTGATCCCGTTTCCAAATAAGGATGGTACAGCATCCGGGCGTAATTGTTTCCGATCAGTCGAACAACTGGAAGGCATTGCTCGCGAAACACGACAGCAAGTGTCAAAGTGAGCATCACAGACGCGATATTCACCCAACGGACCTTTCCATCCATCATCGTGAATCTTACAGTACTTTATCCATTGTTGTCTTCTCCGTGGCGATTTTGGGAAACGAAAATAACTAATTTTAGAATAATGTTTCTTTGCGTTGTAATTTGAACAGCGAGGAACCGAACAGTATACCATGTTCAAATCAGTAGGCTGCGCACCTGAGACGCTAGAATCACACACTTGTACATACACCACGTGAAGCCGCTCTAACAAAGCTTGATGACGTCATACTGTTTATCAATTGGCACCAATGACGTCATATTGCAAGGGGCATAAGCCATGGTGTTTTTGTTATGGAAATAGAACACTTGGTAAATGTGAAAAATATAAATCGTTTTAATGAAAAAAATATGTTAATTAATTGTGATATTTTTATATTTTTGTCTATGACTCTACTAGCTTAACACTTTTAATGTTGAAAAAGTACCAAAAAAATAGGTTCATTTTCGTGTACACTTGCCCTTTAAGAGAACAAAATGCACCCCCAAATTTTGACATTTTTTGGAAGCTTTCCGGAAGGTATCCGGGCCGGATCCATAGTGGGAAGGTTTCCGGAAGGTTTCCGGATGACGGAAACCTACACTTTTTGGCCTGTTGACATGTCCTTTATAGAGTATATGTTGGATGTTCTCGGGCGGAGAGCGTACGCCAGAGACTGGGAACCCTAAAGTGGCTCAGCTCGGGGTAGCTTTTCAGAATGGCGGGCAATACCAAGGGCAACCATACGAATGTTAATTAACAGTATGCCATCAAGGTGTCGTGCATGTATCGTCCAACATGAGGGGGCACAGGTGGCCCAGTCGTCTAAGCCGCCGGGATTCGCTGTGCAGAGTTGCGTCCCTTGAACACGCCAGAAACCTATGAATGTTGGTTCGAATCCCGGTTCGCCCCGATTTTGTTGCTAGGTTTGTCAGCACCATACCCGTGCTCGTGGGTTTCACCGAAGTGCATGACCTGCATCACTTGGGGCTTTCGTCCCACATTAAGCTGACACGCCGTGATATAACTGGAATACTGTTAAAAGCGGCGTTGAACCCAACTCACTCACTCACTCGTCCAACATGATGGGCACACGAGATATTGATCTAGTATTGCCAGTAGTATAGGTAGTAAAGGTTTGCTTGATTGTTCGTTTGTTTGTTTGTTTGTTTGTTTGTTTGTTTCACGCCGCACCCAGCAATATTCCAGCAGTATGACGACGGTCGGTAGTATAGGAATATATAAAATGTGAAAACTTCAAAGGAAATCAGGAATCGGAAACTTCCATCTAAGCCATCTACGAATCGATGGTTTATACGCCGAATTACAGGAACCAAATTGGATTTATCCTCCGATGTTTGCTGGATGAAAAGAACACTAAAGTACCTTTATTTATGAATAAATCGACAAATTCATTTCCAGCTTGCCTTTTAGCGTTAAAACGGTCTTTGTCAAGCGTTCCATAAATATTGATTTTGAATTGCAGCAAATTAATATACATCCAAAGATTTACTGTGGAATATTTCAAGCTTCCAATTTGTTTAAGTAGTGTACGAATGAAAAAGCAAATGATTCTGGTTTCAGATGAGTTTGCCGTATTGATCAATACAAGTCACCCGTCCATCAAAACGAGGCTTGGTGATGGGCTCAAGTGCGCGGCACTGCGCATGTCAAGATGTAGGAAATTCTGCCTCGAGGTAGGTAAGTATGTGTATTCAGAATAGACTCGTTGATACACAATAAAGTTTAGTATTTCACAAGTCTTACGGTAACTATTTTTTTAATCCGATTATGGAGTTAGGGACCATTCACCCACTTTATTCAAAATTGCCTCGAAAATCGGCGTAGAAATACAATACCTACACTGGTAACTAGGCAACCGTGAAGGGAGACTACATGGATCGGTGTGTCAGGCTTAGCGTCAGAGCCCCGGTAAACAACAAGCACAGAAAACAATCAATCTCATTAAAATCAGATCTAAGTCCTCGTTTGCCAAAAATACAATTCTAAACGTTAGAAATCATAATAACAACACTGTTCACTAAATTGTTTACACAAATAAAGTTTACATACCGTTTTATACGCTCCGCATTTCGATAAACAACAACAGACACGAGCTTGTCTCTCACTCGGCCACATAACAAAATGCTAGAGATGTCGTTCTTGGCGCGCTCTTCTCGTGCGCTCGTACAACAAGTCTATAAATAAATACGAACTTTAAACATAAACCTTCCATCTTTGTTTAGCGATAGCGAGAACTAAGATCTGATTTTAATGAATTGGGACAAAAATCTGAGTACAAGTTCTCAAGGTCCCGAACACTTTCATACTGTCATAATGGCTAGGATTACGCATCCAATATTATTGCACTTATATAGCGACGTGCATGTGTGTGTGTGTGTGTGTGTGTGTGTGTGTGTGTGTGTGTGTGTGTGTGTGGTGCTAGCCCACTGAGATACCATACCGCAGTTTAACATGAATAGCTCCGAGCCGACCAGTCCTTGTTTTAGCCCCTTAATGCCGAGCGCCAGACAGGGTAACAACAAGTACCATCTTTTAACGTCTTTTGGTATACCCTCTTCTTTCCCAAAACGTAAAGACATTTTACAAATTATTTGGCACTATATGAAATACGTTGCGGTTTACTGAGACAGTTTATGCCTACGCGATTTCTAAAGTTACTTTAGTAAATGGAAAGATGACTTTAATTTCGATTATTTTAAGGATGATATCATATGATAAAGAAACTATTACCCTCGTTTGTCCATGTGGTAAATATATATTAAGAATACAAATTTGCTCTCCATGCGTAATACAGCATCTGTTCCTAATAAATACTATTTTCAACATACGAGAAACATTCGGGCACAGTGCTCTCTCACTGTTGACTACGGTAATGTTAGTGCCTTGCGTGTCATGTTGTGTTGACTCTGTTACCGTAATGTGTGTGTGTGTGTTGTGTGTGTGTGTGTTGTGTGTGTGTGTGTTGTGTGTGTGTGTGTGTGTGTGTGTGTGTGTGTGTGTGTGTGGTGTGTGTGTGTGTGTGTGTGTGTGTGTGTGTGTGTGTGTGTGTGTGTGTGTGTGTGTGTGTGTGTGTGGTGTGTGTGTGTGTGTGTGTGTGTGTGTGTGTGTGTGTGTGTGTGTGTGCAGATACACCTATGTATCTACATATGTAGGCCAGTGGCCTACGGAATAGGACCCGGGAAGATCCGGGTTAGAATGGTTCTTCAGAAACCCATGCTTGTCGTAAGAGGCAACTAACGGGATCGGGTGGTCAGGCTCGCTGACTTGGTTGAGGCATGTCATCGTATCCCAACTGCGTGGATCGATGCTCATGATGTCAATCACTGGACTGACTGGTCCAGACTCGAGTATTTACAGACCGCCGTCATATAGCTGGAATAATGCTGAGTGTGGCGCTAAACTAGAAACAAACAAACCTAAAGAAAGCCTTGACCTGACTTGACCGTTGTCCGCTCTATGTCCACTCCCCAGCTTGACATGTCCACCTCTCTACACGACTGGTACGCCGAGCACAAGGAGGCCATCACGAGCTGTGACGACATTCACCAGATGAAAGTGAGGCGCGCGAGACTGTACGTGACGAATCACACGATCTACAGCCACTGTTTCGACTGCAAGCCCCACTGGTGGCTGTGTTTGTGTTTCTGCTGGCTACTCTCCGCCCCCTGCTACATGGTAAATGGCCGCCAGATCAGACATCTGGGAGGATGGAATTGTCAGATTATATTAAACATATTGAATTACTCTATCTCCTTCAGAAGAGCATTCCTCATCAGTCGATGTTGTCCGACATTGCCCAGTCAGATCGGTGTTATGTGCCGGCACTTCTATCTAGACGATGTTATATGGTAACACTTCTAACTAGTCGATGTTATATGGTAACACTTCTATCTAGACGATGTTATATGGTAACACTTCTAACTAGTCGATGTTATATGGTAACACTTCTATCTAGACGATGTTATATGGTAACACTTCTAACTAGTCGATGTTATATGGTAACACTTCTAACTAGTCGATGGTATATGGTAACACTTCTATCTAGACGATGTTATATGGTAACACTTCTAACTAGTCGATGTTATATGGTAACACTTCCAACTGGTCGATGTTATGTAGTAACACTTCTAACCAGTGAGAACTAGACGATCTTATATGGTAACAGTTGTAACCAATTAGAACTAGACGATGTTCTGTGGTAACACTTCTAACCAGTAAGAACTAGACGATGTTATATGGTAACACTTGTAACTAGTCGATGTTATATGGTAACACTTCTAACCAGAAGGAACTAGACTATGTTCTGTGGTAACACTTCTAACTAGTCGATGTTATATGGTAACACTTCTAACTAGTCGATGTTATATGGTAACACTTCTAACCAGTAGGCACTAGACGATGTTCTGTGGTAACACTTCTAACTAGTCGATGTTATATGGTAACACTTCTAACTAGTCGATGTTTTATGGTAACACTTCTAACTAGTCGATGTTATATGGTAACACTTCTAACTAGTCGATGTTATATGGTAACACTTCTAACTAGTCGATGTTATATGGTAACACTACTAACAAGTCGATGTTATATGGTAACACTTCTAACCAGTAGGCACTAGACGATGTTCTGTGGTAACACTTCTAACTAGTCGATGTTATATGGTAACACTTCTAACTAGTCGATGTTATATGGTAACACTTCTAACTAGTCAATGTTATATGGTAACACCTCTAACCAATAAGCCCTTGACGATGTTATATGGTAACAGTTGTAACCAATAAGAACTAGACGATGTTATTTGGAAACCCTTGCAACCAATAAGAACTAGACGATGTTATATGGTAACACTTGTAACCAATATGAACTAGACGATGTTCTATGGAAACACTTGTAACCAATAAGAACAAGTCGATGTTTTTTGGTAACACTTGTAACCAATATGAACTAGACGATGTTCTATGGAAACACTTGTAACCAATAACAACAAGTCGATGTTTTTTGGTAACACTTGTAACCAATATGAACTAGACGATGCTATATGGAAACACTTGTAACCAATATGAACTAGACGATGTTATATGGTAACACTTGTAATCAGTAAGAACAAGTCCATGCTTTATGATAACACTTATAACCAATATGAACTAGACGATGTTATATGGTAACACTTGTAACAATAAGAACAAGTCGATGTTATTTGGAAACACTTGTAACCAATATAAACAAGACGTTGTTATATGGTAACACTTGTAACCAATATGAACAAGACGATGTTCTATGGCAACACGTGTATCCAGTCAGATCCAGCCGATGTAACTTATACTTACACCGATAAGGAACATGTTATATAATCTAAAATTTCTATACGTATTAGAGCTATATATGTATATGTGATCCTGAACTAAACAAATGTCACTCTGATACAAAGTAGAGATGTCACCACGCCATGGTACTGTGGATATATTGTATGGATATATCATTCCGAATCATACTGGGATAATGCGGATATATCATTCCGATGCACGTACTGTCGCATGTGTCATCCGTGCAAACCTAACACGTTATTGCAGAATGCTGTCAGATTGTGTGAGCATCACTTCAACGTTGACAGAGGTGACTAACGGGATCGGGTGGTCAGGCTCGCTGACTTGGTTGATGCATGTCATCGTATCCCAATTGCGTGGATCGATGCTCATCATGTCAATCACTGGATAGTCTGGTCCAGACTTGGTACATATGGAATATTGCTGAGTGCGGCGTTAAACAACAAACAAACAAACTTTTCAGTTAAATGAGGACGATGCATGTATGTGTTGGCATGGTAACAGTTGTACAATATCGTGTGTGTGTTTCAGTCCTACCGGAAGTTGACGTGCACTGACATCTATGTTGAAATACATGGGGAGATAACTCCAGCAAAAAGTGTACAAGATGAAAGTAGCAGGTACGTAGTACGTCATATTATTATTATGGTGATATATGTTTTTTCAAACATATTAAAATACGTTGTGGATAACTGGGGATATTTTAATTCGATCTTCCTTCATTTCACCTTTTCAAATTCACAGGTCATGAATATGATAAATATATGTCGTTTTAAATGTGAAAAAAAACATGTTGATTTCCGCACATTTATTACCTGAGTAGATGGCAAAACATTAAACATGCACGAGCGTTAGAGTGATGTTGTACGGTCTTTAACTCACCTATTTTATTGACATATATCTTTCTCTGATTAATTTCAATTTCACATTTTCGCAAAGAACAGTTCCTTAAAAGTATCCACGCTATCCATGCTATCATTCGTAAAAAAAGCGTTCAAATGAGAGGAATAAAATGTCTGTCTCAGAAAAGGTTGAATTGTTTATACGTATCCCAGTGGGCTTCCTTAACGTCATTGAACGTGCTGTTGTTTCAATTTCCAGAGTAGCAATAGATTCTTCACGACGCAGCTACCAGACAGTCTGACGTCGTGTGAAACAGATGCTAGTTTTTCTACTGTTGAGGTCTGGGAGAAAAATGGTGCCAATTTTCCATCACGAAGCCACAGTGCCCAGACTGGGGACACATCTTCACCACAACCTGTCTCTGGAACCATCGCATCTCCCTATGGTCATTGTCCCTGACAGCTATGTCGCTGAAGATTACTGGCTGAATCCTGCTAGGTGATGTGTTACATAGAAGAAGACATAAATATTATTTTTGACACAGAGTGACTACAAGTGTAGAAACAATTCATAGAAGGTTATTCTGTTGGCAATATGTGACATGAGAGCGAGAGGAGATTTGAAACATTCTCAACAATTCATAGAAGGTTATTCTGTTGGCAATATGTGACATGAGAGCGAGAGGAGACTTGAAACATTCTCAAGAAAATGTGACCAAGAGCGAAGCCATTTCAATTATAAGCCGCCAGTGAGAGAATATTGTATCAAAGTGATCTTCTACTAACAAGAGGGGCGGCGGGTAGCCCAGTGGTTAAAGCGTTAGCTCGCCACGCCGAAGACCCGGGTTCGATTCCCGACATGGGTACAATGTGTGAAGCCCATTTCTGGTGTCCCCCGCCGTGATATTGCTGGAATATTGCTAAAAGCGGCGTAAAACCATACTCACTCACTAACAAGAAATGTGTGTTCCGTGTATATTTCTTGGAGCGACGCTGAACATAATCGCCAGTATTGAGACAGAACAATCTCACTTTATATTTGAAAGTTTTGTTCGAAGCAGCATGACAATAGCTTACATTTGCAGTGTATATAAACATGTTTTCTATAATATTCATAGTTGAACCTTGATGTAATCTGTAGTTATTTGCAATTGTTGTTAGTGATATGTTAGTATGTCATATGGTCAGGTTAATGTCACTATACACATAAAGTAAATCACTGCAGATACTGTGGTCGACTCATCTGTTACCCTACAGTTCAGAACTATTCCAGGTCTATCTACTCACCACCATAAGAAACGCAAACCATAGAAACACGTCTCTAAGTGAAGGGTGAGAGAGTTGGGTTAAACGCCGCTTTTAACAGTATTCCAGTTATATCACGGCGTGTCAGCTTAATGTGGGAGGAAAGCCCGAAGTGATGCAGGTCTCAGACGTTTACCACTTCGGTGAAACTCACGAGCACGGGTATGGTGCTGACAACTCTAGAAACATAATCGGGGCGAACCGGGATTCGAACCCACAATAATAGGTTTCTGGCGTGCCCAAGAGAAGCAACTCTGCACAGTGAACAGCGGCTCCATAGGAAAGTCCGAAGTGATGCAGGTCTCAGACGTTTACCACCTCGGTGAAACTCACGAGCACGGGTATGGTGCTGACAAACCTAGAAACATAATCGGGGCGAACCGGGATTCGAACCCACAATCATAGGTTTCTGGCATGTCCAAGGGACGCAACTCTGCACAGCGAATCGGCGAGATGTTGCCAGTGTGTACCAATTAATGACAAACTAAGAAGCGGTCAAGTGTTATCACAGAGTGCATTCGAATCCATTACAGTGGTCCGACTATTATTTCAGTGATGACCGTCTCTCAGTTTTCTCTGATTTCTCAATCAAGTATTGTTCATGGCTTTGTTTCTATGTTTTGGATATTCTAGTACCTATTGTTCGTCATAGATGAAGGATCCGCAATAAACATGGTCACTACTGACGTCATCTTTGGTCTTTTTCAAATCTTGTGTGGTATCGTGTGTCTGTCGTACAGCTGAGTCCTATCGCGTCTTTGTGGGAAGGTGGCAGGACGGACTTCTTCTATCACCTAATGGAGTTTGGAAGACGACCGGCCGGTCTTATTCTCATCTGGTTCTTTTACTTACTATTTTTACAGAGGGCACGGGTGGCCCAGTCGTCTATGGAGCCGCGATTCGCTGTGCAGAGTTGCGTCCCCTGGGCACGCCAGAAACCTATGATTGCGGGTTCGAATGCCGGTTCGCCCCGATTATGTTTCTAGGTTTGTCAGCACCATACCCGTGCTCGTGGGTTTCACCGAAGTGGTAAACGTCTGAGACCTGCATCACTTCGGGCTTTCCTCCCACATTGAGCTGACACGCCGTGATATAACTGGAATACTGTTAAAAGCGGCGTTAAACCAAACTCACTCACTCACTCACTCACTAACTCACTTTGTGGGAAGGTGGCAGGGCGGACTTCTTCTATCACCTGATGGAGTTTGGAAGACGACCGGCCGGTCTTATTCTCAACTGGTTCTTTTACTTACTATTTTTACAGAGGGCACGGGTGGCCCAGTCGTCAATGGAGCCGCTATTCGTTGTGCAGAGTTGCGTCTCTTGGGCACGCCAGAAACCTATTATTGTGGGTTCGAATGCCGGTTCGCCCCGATTATGTTTCTAGGTCTGTGAACACCATACCCGTGCTCGTGGGTTTCACCGAAGTGGTAAACGTGTGAGATCTGCATCACTTCGGGCTTTTCTCCCGCTTTGAGACGACACGCCGTGATATAACTCGAATACTGTTAAAAGCGGCGTTCAACCAAACTCCCTCACTCACTCACTTAGGGAGGCGTGGCCTTGGCCTTGACGGACGTCACGACCAGCCGTACAAAATACCCGCCTCTCTCGATGATCTTGGCCCCTTTCTCTGATTGACCATGTCAGTCGGGTTTTGTAGAAAGAGGAATTACCCAACGTGGTTAAAGGTCATTGACCCACGTATATGTACATACGTGACATCCGGCGACTTTTGTTTGTTGTTTAACGCCCCACTCAGCAATATTCCAGCTATATGACGGCGGTCTGTAAGTAATCGAGTCTGGACCAGACAATCCAGTGATTGACAACAGGAGCATCGATCCACGCAAATGGGATCGATGGCATGCATCAACCAAGTCAGCGAGCCTGACCACCCGATCCCGTTAGTCGCCTCTTACAACAAGCATAGTCGCCTTTTACGGCAAGCATGGGTTGCTGAAGATCTATCCTACTCCGGATCTTCACGGAATATTAGCTTCCGCGGTGATGCGGCCGTCAAACCAGCTGTTTCATCATTGTGATTTAATAGCCTCTGATTGACCAATCAGAATCGGGTAAATTCCAAATTCATGGTAGAATAAACATTTTGACACGTGAACTCATATCACTAACATTCACCTTAAGTTACGTGAACATGGTTCATATCAGCTTATTAATAAACGCCTGTCTCTAGCAATGCGTGACTGCTTATCTTCCGTTATCCGAATAATGCGGATTAGATTTAATTAGACTTAATTAATCCATATAATCTGCCGGTGTCACGAAATATATTCGCCCCCAGAATAAAATCTCCCCCCGGCGAATTTATACCGGTACAGTTCCGCCCCTCTCGAAATAAACTCTCCCCGACCCTACGAAATAAAATCTCCCCCCAGAATATTTCCTCCCCGGTCGTTTTATAAATACTTGCCATGCAGTTGCCAATAGTTTTAATGTTAATTTGTTTATGTGTTTTTTTATTCATTTTTTTTTTATCTCCTTTATTTTTTCTGAGTTATACATTTAGTTACTTGTGTGGGGGGTGGGGTGGGGGGTGGGGGTGGTTATTTGTGGATTTTTAGTATTATTTTATTGATTTTGAGGGTGTGGAAGGGGGGTTGGGGGGTTCCCACCTTTCCTTTCGTTTTTCATAATAATATATTTTTAAGTTGTATACAACGTATGAATCCCTTCTCAGATTACTTTATCTCAGTTCTATATGACGTACTATTTTAATTCTCTGTGTCGTTCTTGTTTTCATTCAGTGTGAGGTTAAACTGTATCCGGGGGAGAATCTGTACCGATATAAACTCTCCGGGGGGAGAATTTGTACGGGGGAGAGTTTGTACCGGGACACCGGCAAAGTGAGAACAAACCTGCTGAAGACCACCTATTCCGCCTATCTTCACGGGTCTTAGGCGACGTAAAGAGGTGTTAACTGACATTTATAGATAGCGTTGGGATCAAAGGTCCCGTCTGGAGGGAGTAATGATTAGAGGGAATACGCCGACTGTTTGCTGTATACAAAGGGAAAAGAATTTCGGTGCACTTTGGAAACATATTGAAACAATTAGGCATTTTAGATAAATGGAGTTTAAAAAAAAATTTAAATGTTTTCCACTATAACAAAAGTTATGTATTGAACACTCATCGATCTGTTCACACACTGCAATATTGACGGTAGGGAAGCCTAATGGTGACAACCTTCACTCCTCAAACCGCAGACCTGGGTTCGATTCCAAACACGTGTCTGAAGCCCTTTCCTTGTGTCCTCTGCCGTGACATTGTTGGATTATTACTAAAACGGGGTTACATCACACTCACTCACTGAAATATTGAACGTTCCCTGTAAACGAGGACTACACAGGATTTGGATTCGATCTCATTTCATTCATTATTCAGAGTTCAATACTTGTTATGCACGCGGCTAGGCCGTAAAGCAGTTTGGTATAATTTTTACGACAACACGAAACAAGATATAAATAATATATTTGTGTTTCTCGCATGTTTGTATTTATTTCCATAATTTCGTCACAACCACGAGAACACAGGTGCATCTTTATGACAGTGTTGATTGCACGTCACCGCTCCGACACTAACATGTACATTTTCATGCCGGTGTGGGTTGTTATGCAACATCTGTTCCGGTTTATTTCATTAACAGCATACAATTTTAATATTTATGATAACCTCAGGTGATTTATCGAATTTAATTTTTTTCTCTGTATCCTGAAGAAAATTGTATTTGCCATTTTGATTCTTTTTTCATTGCATATGTCAGCTGCGTATTTATGTATCTCTGCTGCTCTGCATAAACGATTTTGATATTGACGACGCAACATGATTCACTTCCTTTGACACTTGCCTTCATATACGAGTACTTATATTGTAGGTGGTGCAACAATTTATGTACTTGGAAGCCGGACCGGTAAAGATATTTTGTCCGCCATTGCTGAGGTGAAGATGGCGACCATGAGTCCGTCTATCTCTATCTTGAGAAAATTGTGGAAAGCTATCCGTCTGTCTCGAAAAAAATGCAAAAAATTATCCGTCTTTCTCGAGAAAATTGTGGAAAATTATCCGTCTGTCTCGAGAAAATTGCGGAAAAATTATCCGTCTATCTCGAAAAAATTGCTCTTATGTCTTTATGACAGTGTTGATTGCACGTCACTGCTTCGCCACTAACATTTACCACAATTGCCTTCATATACGAGTACTTATATAGTAGATGGTGCAACAATTTATGTACTCGGAAACCGGACCGGTAAAGATATTTTGTCCACCATTGCTGAGGTGAAGAGGGCGACCAAGAGTCCGTCTATCTCTATCTCGAGAAAATTGTGGAAAATTATCCGTCTTTCTCGAAAAAATGGCAAAAATTTATCCGCCTATCTCGAGAAAATTGCTCTTACGTCTTTATGACAGTGTTGATTGCACGTCACTGCATCGCCACTTATATTTACCACAATTGCCTTCATATACGAGTACTTATATTGTAGATGCTGCAACAATGTATGTACTTGGAAGCCGGACCGGTAAAGATATTTTGTCCGCCATTGCTGAGGTGAAGATGGCGACCAAGAGTCCGTCCCCTCTCAATGAGTCCCACCTGATAGGTGGCAAACTACAATAGAAACTACACTTAAACGTCTTTGACGGCCAGTGTGCGAGGACGCTTGTCGTGTTGCAGCTGTCGTGGGTTCCTGTGCATGACAGCACGGTTGGTAGGGCGGTATGTTCGGGAATCTATAAAGATCACAGTATCAAAATCGTTTATAAGGAGCAGTACAGAGATGCGGTTACCGCGGTTACCGCATCTGTACGTTTCTTTTTTATTTAATCGCTTCCTTTAATGAACTTACAGATGATGTAACTGCCATGACATTCACGGAAACATCTTTTTATAACAATGTATATCTCCCCAGTACTAACAGAGACTCGAATCAATAAACTCTGTATGATCAGGTAGTTACAGATGATGTAATTGCCATTGTTTGATTTATAACACTGTATATCTCCCCAAGATATCTCACCAGTAGTAACAGAGACTCGAATCAATAAACTCTGTATGATCAGGTAGTTACAGATGATGTAATTGCCATTGTTTGATTTATAACACTGTATATCTCCCCAGTATATCTCACCA